CTGTTGGTCACATCAGAAGTTGCCTTTTTTCATAAAGATTGATGTAAACTGATGTTTTATTTGTATTTATATTTTATGTCGTGCTCAAATATTATTTTTACAGGATAGAAAAGCAGAAGGATTTAAGACTTAACTCTCTGAACCTCAAGTCGTTTCTGGGTGTTTTTTCTTTTTCTTTTTTTTGTTGTGTCATCTTTTTTTTCTGTGGGTTTTTTCTGTGCCATATAGTGTTGTGTCTCTCTGTGGACAGAGCACCCCGGGGGGGTGTGGGGGGAGCGGGTCTGAGAGGTGTTTTGTGTGGAGTACCACACATATCTCTCCCTATATTTTATATATATATAAAAAAGAAATAATTGAATTTGATTTTTTTTAATTTTTTGTTTTTTAAAATTTTGAAAACTTTTGATTCACCTTTTTGGGCTTTTGGGCCCCCGGTTGCCCCCACCCGGGAAAACACACACACAAAGATGTTTTTCTGTTTTTATTTTTTTTTTTTATCTCCGCTTTTGTTTTCTACACCCTGTGGTTTTGCGGCGATGTTGTTATTTGCATCCCGGGACTGTGCTTCCTGCGTTCTGATTAATGATTTTTATGCATAAACTAAATAAAATAATGAACGTATGCATCGGAGTCGAGCTTGGTCTCCACGGTAACTAGTTTCTAAGATAAGATGAGCCTTTATTCATCCCACAGGGGGAAGTTTGCAGAGTTACAGCAGCAGAGATGAAGAAATGTGACGTAGAAATATAAAATAAACCAAAATATACACGAGCAGTGATTCTAAAAGTCACATTATTTCACACATTTTTGATGAATAGAATCACTGGAGGAGTTTTAATGTTGCACAAAATATTCAATCTACTCCTGGAAAGATCATAATTAAGATTTCTAACAGACTTTATTCCATGTTTGAAGAACATCAGCTGGTTTCTCTCTAACAATCAGTGAATGCATCAGCCTCAAAGACATCAGATATCAGTCCAGCTCAATATATTTAACTACAATTCCAGTTAATTCACAGTTTTTTCAGTTTAATTTGAATGTTGAGGCTAAAAAATGTGACTTGTGCAGCATTTTTTTAGCCTGTTTTCTGTGATTGTTTCAGTCTCTCTCTGGAAGTGAAAGCATCTTTATTGGCTCCAGCAGCAGCTTCCTCTTTCCCTGATAGCTGCAGAAGGTCACACACAGTTTATTCATGCAAACAGAAACTAACGGAGGCCGCAAGAAACACAGAAACACAGAAACACGTCAGTTTGAACTCGGATCTGTTTCTGATTTTCTGTTATCTCGCTGATCTGCACTAAAAGCTGATTTATGGTCGTCAGTGACGTGTGGGCTCATGTTCATCTACTGCTCATTAAAGATTCTGGACTTTCTGCTTTAGTTCTGTTTAGTTTTTTTTTTTTTTTTTTTTTAAACTATGACATGAAAGTTAGGCTGAACTATATGCAGAGAAAACACATTTTGATCGACGGAAGTCACGATTTCTGATGTTTTTAACTTGTTTCTTCATGTCTAATCAGGTGAACTAGTGTCCTATATCATGTCTTGTTTGTTTTAATTAATCATTTCAACAATCACACAAACATTAATGAACAAAACTGTCATTTCTCTCAAGGAAGCTGAAAACAAATTCTGTAAAAAAAAAAATAAAGAAATCTGGCAGCAGAAGGCTTTTATGTTCAAAAACTCTAAAAGTAAAAGCAAAAAACTGTAAAATAATGATCATATAGCTGATTTATTTTATGATCACACGTTGTGGAAGAACATAATCCAGTTTGTAGAACACAGAATGCAGCTAGTAGGTAAATAAATATTGTTTTGTAGTGATTTTACTGGTTGTTACGTGTAAAGAAGCAAAACAGGGAAAATCTGTAAAATAAGAGCCGTCATGTCCACAACTTGTCTTCCCATCATATCTCACAATATCTGTAAAATAATCATTCTGGAGCTCTCTCTCCTTCTTCGTGGTTTCCATGGAGATGCAGGACTTTATGTTGCAGTGAAAAACGAGCCACCAGTGGAGACGTGTGAGCAGCAGGACCGGAGGCCTGGACTTCTGGCGTCCACCTGAGGTCGCTGCCGGTTTTTAAATCCACGGGTCCAGATCCCGGGAGGCTCCTCCAGGTTTCGGCTGCGGGAGCGCGCGTCGGTTCTGGGTGCCCTGAGGAACACGTGTGTCGGGGACGCGCTCCGCCGTGACACGGGAGTGAACCGGGACCACCGCCTCACTGCGGCTCCGCGCACCGGAGCGGCCACAGCGCGGCTCCTGACCCGGATATCACCTCTGATCTGGGACGCTTCCAGCTCTGAACTCGGCGTCTCCACGTTCTTCCAACACCTGGATGATTATTTCACTCCCACCTGAACTTTATTTTTTACTTTGAATCCTTGTGTCGGACTCGGTTCGGTGAATGAAGTCGTGCGTAAAAGTGGCGCCGAGATCTGATCTGAAGAGCGAACATTTGCGCACTGGATTCACGCACATTGGATGTTTTTTTGTTTTTTTGGTTTGTTTGGCGTCTCGGCACACGTGTTTGTGCGTGAGGGATGACTGAGCAGCTGTCCAGGTGGGTTTAACCTGCGCCAGATGAGATGCCACCATGTCCTTTACGCACCGGCTCGCTCTGCTCCTGCTCGGCTTCAGCTTCATCCACACGGTCAGTCCCTCACCATTATCACGATTAGTCATTAAAATATCAGTGTCATGCCTGAAATATGTGCAGAAATGTGATTAATGGACGTTAAAGTGGTGTTATGGGAAATTCTGTGGTGAAAATAAGTCGTTTTACACGTTTTTAGAACAATATGGAGCTAAAATAAAGTCACAGTGAGTTTATAGAGACAATAATCGTGATTTATCTTTATCTTTTACTTTGAGCCTCTTAATCCACGTTTGTGCTGCTTTATTTCTCCGTCTGCTCGTTTAAATCCTCTCACTTCTGCTTCCTGTGTCATTTATTTGACACTTATTGGACGTTTCAAAGCTGTAAATCATCTCAAACAGCAACAAACTTTCCATGACTGCAGCCTTCTTTCTGCTGCTGCTTTTCATTGTTTAACTGTAGCATGAATTATATATTCACTGTCTGCTGCTGCTGCTGCTGCTGCTGGTTAAATTTTAATATTCACACATGAGGCTCAGCTCTGCCTCTTTCTTCAAATTAGATTCTGTAGCTGGACTCGTCGTTTTATTCAGAGGACTTGTTATCTGCTGGAGAAGTTAAAAGCTGAGCTGATCCTCGGTGCCTTTGGATGCGGCTCCAGACAACTCAAGTGGATGATTTACTCAAAATTTAACCTCAGTAGATGTGTTGGAGGTGACGTCAGTGGCACTGAAATCCACTCGAGTAGGAGAAACAGTGACTCATGAAGGATTTCACTGTGAGGAAAAGCTCCTGATGGGAAAAACCCAAGAAAGACAAATAATGTTCCAGATTATCTGTTTTTTTTTTACCCAAAGTGAGTTTTTAACTGATTATTTGAGTTGACTGATGCAAACGGACATTTCAAACCTCAGTTTTTCATCCACAAACCTCAAAATAGGATATTTTTTCGTAATTATCGAGCTTCTAGCTTGTGATTTAGTGACATCTACGTGTTAAAATACAACTGCTTTCATCTTAAAATGTGACTTTAACATTTAAAAACACGCCTCAAATCTTAATGTGTTTTTTCATACATTCATTTTGTGGGTTTTTAACTGATAGTTTTTACGTTTCAGGCCTGTTTTTGCAAACTTAACTGATGCAAACACACATTTAAAAGCATCAAAACCCTGTAAAAGTCTCAGTTTTCCATCCACAACCTCAAACGTGATGTTTTCTTAACATTTAAGAACAAACCTTCATTCTAGGTGTATATTTACGTACATAGAATAAAGTCTAAATGTTGGAAAACTTCAATGTAGAGATTTTATAGCTGATCATTTGAGTTTTAGGTCTTTACTTCTGCTGTTTCTGCAAAAATTACTGATTCAAAAAACATGTTTAAATCCTTACAAACCAGTAAAATGTCAGTTTTCTGTCCACAGATTCAAAAATAAATTAATTTCTCAAAAATCTGCCGAGCATGACGCGTGCTTTAACCGCATCTACAAGATAAAATATCTGAGCTCACTTACGTCCGTAGACGAGGAGCTTAAATGTTGGAAAACCTGCATTTTGTGAGTTTTTAACTTCATTTCAGCTTTAAGCCTGTTTTACTGCTGTTTTTTTTTTAAACATTACTGATGCAAACAAACATTTAAAAGCATCAAAACGTGTAAAAATCTCAATTTTCCATCCACAGACCTCCATCCAGGTTATATATCATATAACTGTGGTTTTATCAGCATCCACACATGGAAATAAATTCACTTTAATGCTATAAAATGTCATCATATCAACATTTACACACATATCTGAGGAGTTAAATGTTGGAAAACCTGCTTTTAGTGCGTTTTTAACTGATAATTTAGACTTTCGGCCTGTTTTTCTGCCGTTTCTCAAACATTATTGAAGCAAAAAGACATTTAAAACCTGAAAAATCTCAGTTTTCTGTCCCCACACACGTCAAAAGTGCTGCTTTTCTTCAACATTTATGTGATATACAGTAAATATGTTTTGTTTTTGCAGCATCTGCACATTAAACACACTGTAATGTTGTAAAATGTGACTGTATTTGCATTCATAGATGAAGAGTTTTTAACTGATATTTGTAGTTTTTGGTCAGTTTTCCTGCTCTGTCTGCCTTAAAAACCTTTAAACATCTGGATGCACTGTTGTTTTCTGTCCCTTTTCCTGTTGATTTGCTCCGTTCTTGGCAGCCAGTGCATCCTTCAACGTCTCCTTGTCACAGATTAACTGAAGACGGATGTTTCTTTGTCGTATTGGCTCATCCTAATGAGCTGAAACTCTGCTGTTAAGGCGCCACAGAAGAAACATTTTGAACAGCAGGGATGATGTTTTGTTTTCACTGATTTAGGGGATGAAAGTGGAGCAGCTGAGGTTGATTATTGAGAAATAATACAGAAGAACTACTTAAGCCGTGTTTAGTTCCTGTGATGTTCATCTGCAGCAGAGCGTCGCTTCGAGGCGGCTCTGAGCTGTGAAAAGGTTTCTGTCGGCTGCACACAGCGGACGGATTTCACAACGTCAGACTTTCACAACCGCAGCAGAAGTGTGTCAGCTGTGTGTGCGCTCCAGCCGAGGTCACGCCGGACGTCAACGTACAACGTTTACACTGGAGGTGACCGGCTGCTGCTCCGTCTGCTGACCTGCTTTCTCATACGTACAGAGAAAGTAGCTTTGAACGTGGACACCTGCCACCTGAGGGTGAAGCTGATGTCAGCATCTCCTGCTTTCACTGCAAACCAACTGTCCAAATCGAACTGATGGAGATTCTACATATGTTGCAGTTCAATCTAGACTTTTTGCAGAAACGGTGATTCCAGCAGAGGCTCAGTTCTGCTTTTTAAAATCCTTCATGCGTGGAGTTTAGCTGTTGTCTTCAGTGAGCACAGATGTGGTGAAAACTGTGTTTTATCTGATCTTAAAGACATAAAACCTTTTATTTCTCACTGACTGGCATTAAATGTGACCAAACTGTTCCTGTTTCAGGTCAGTCAGGATCACCAACGTTGTTTCTTTTTTCTACACCCCAGTATTGTGAGAGAGGGTTTTTTTTATGACGTTTACATCCACTAAGATGCCTTCAAACTATTTGGGAAAGCCCAGGTGATGATGTCATGGCTTTGGAAGCTTCTGATTGGTTAATTGACAACATGTGAGTTAACTGGAGGCACACGTGTGGATGTATTTTAAGGCTCACCTCAAACACGCTGCTTTCTTTTGTGACAACATGGAACATCTAAAGAAACCAGCCGAGATATCAGGAAGAGAACTGTGGACCTCCACCAGTCTGGTCCATCCTTGGGTACAACTTCCAGATGCCTGAAGGTTCCACGTTCATCTGTTCAGACAGTTCTATCAAGTATGACCACCATGGGAATGTCCAGCCATCATAGGCTCAGGAAGGAGACGGTTCTGTGTCCAGAGATGAAGTGTTCTGGTTGAAATGTGCGAATCAACCCCAGAACAGAAGCTAAAGACCTTGAGAAGATGCTGCTGAAGCTGGTCAGAGAGTCATTATCCACAGTGGAACCAGTCCTGTACCGACATGGGCTGGAAGGCTGCTCAGAGAGGAAGAAGACATCACTCCAGAAGAAACATAGAAAAGACAGATTACAGTTTGTAGATGCACACAGGGACAAAGAGCTTCATCAGTGGAGACATGTCCTGTGGTCTGATGGAAACAATATGAGATGGAAAAGTGGTGCTTTTTACAGATTTTTTCTTTTTTTTTTGAAAAAAATGATCTAATTTTACAAATTCCAGGAAAAATTCCTTTATTCGCCAATAATTGTGTTCCCAGTTCGCATATAACTCATTGCTTTTGCATTGAATCTCCACAAAAATCACATTTCATCTCATATCTGAGTTCTGCCTAAACACACAGACGTTGGCCTTTTGATATCATTTTCTCTGCTGTCTTTTTTATAAAAAAAATTTCACATTTTAACGTCTTCAAATCTGCTCAGAATCAACGACAAAACAGAAGACGCTCTGTGCAGCTGCAGAAGTCCATTGAGAATCTCACATTTTTAATTTTTCTGCATGATTTAAATAATCTGATGATGTTTGTCTGAACATCGATGAGTGTGCAGTGAACAGAAGCTGCTAAATGCTAATTCGGCTAATTCAACGTTCTTCTAGTGCTTCTTTTTGGTTGTTTTTTTATTGTCCACTAATCTTGACTTTCCTCCTGAAAGCTGGAATCAAGCTGAGCTTTGTTTCACATTTCCGTCTCTTCTCCGTCCTGCAGGTCAGTGGAAGGTTTTCTCGCTGCCAGCTGCAGTGGGAGATGCAGCGAGCCCGCACAGAGTGTCGCACACAACTGCAGCAGCAGCCGCCGAGTCCTGCAGGTACACAACGTAAAGCACACAATGACACACACACACAGTGACGCACACGCAGGAGCTGCTAGGAAATCCCCATGTGGAGGTTTTTACAGAAACGCTGCAGGAAGAGAAGCTCTGAAGCAGCTAAACACACAAAACAATGTAGTGTGTTAGTGCGCTTTTTAATCCCGTGTTGTGTTGTGTTGTGTTGTGTTGTGTTGTGTTGTGTTGTGTTGTGTTGTGGTGACATCAACCCAGTTACACAACGTGAGTTTTGGCCCCAACAAAAACAGAAAATCATTCCCATAAACGTCACCGAGGAAGTAAATACGCCACCGTGTGTGTTGACGAGGTCAGCTGTGTGTCGCAACAGTCGCACTATCAATCATTTATTTACCTCCCAGACACACACAGACACACACAGACACACACTCTCACTGTCCGTTAGACAACTAATGAGCAGCAAATGAAAGCATTAGAGGAGAATTTTGTGTGTCTTTGTGGTCTTTTTGCATTAATTTGTGTTTATTTTCGTGTCTTATTTTCTAAGTTTGTGTCTATTTGCAGCTTTTTTTACACTCGTTTGCGTCGGTTTTGTGTCATTTTGTGTCTCTGTGAGTCGGTTTTAATCTCTTTCTGATCATTTTGTGTCTCTTTGTGTTCATTTTGCATGTTTTTGTGCATCTCGTTGACCTTTTGTGTGTCTTTGTGGTCGTTGTGCATTAATTTGTGTTCATTTTCACCTCTTATTCTTTTAGTTTGTGTCTACTTGTGATTACTTTGCGTCTCTTTGCAGCTGTTTTACAGTTTGTTTGTATCTGCTTGCACTGGTTTTGTGTTCATTTTGTGTCTCTGTTGGTTGCTTTTAATCTCTTTCTGGTCATTTTGTTTGTCTTTGTGTTCATTTTCATCTCTTGTTTTTATTCATTGTGTCTCTTTGCAGCTATTTTACAGTTTTTTGTTTCTGTTTGCGTTGGTTTTGTGTCTGTTTGTGTTCATTTTACATCTGTTGGTCAGTTTTTATCTCTTTTGTGTGTCTTTTGTGGTCATTTTGCATTTGTTTGTGTTCATTTTCATCTCTTTGCAGCATCTTGAGGGTGTTTTTTTATGTGTTTAGCATCGAAATGGCATCGGTTTGTTTTCATTTTGCGTGTCTTGTGTCTGTTTGTGGTTGTTTTGCATTTTGTAGTGCGTTTGTGTGTCTTCGAGGTGATTTTATCTGTGTGTGTTGTTCTTATTTGTGCTCATTCTGCATCTCTTTGTGTTTGTTTCTGTCTCTCTCTGGTCTTTTTGTGTGTCTGTGTCGTTGTTTTTCTCTCTTTGCGTTGGTTTTGCATGCGGTTGTGTTCATTTTGTGTCTCTGTCAGCCAGTTTTAATCTCTTTCTGGTAACTGTGTGTGTCTTTAAATTCATTGTCGTCTTTTTTTATTTATTAATTTGATTCTCTTTGCAGCTATTTTGCATCTTGTCAACCTTTTGTGCATCTTGGAGGGTTTTTTTTTTGTATCTGTTTGTGTTAAAATAGCACTAGTTTTGTGTCTCTGTTCATCAGTTTCTCTTTCTGCACCTTTTGTGTGTCATTGTGGTTGTTTGTCTCATTTGCGTTGGTTTTATGTGCATGTCTTAGTTGTGTTACCACTAAAATCAACTGGTTGAGTTGTTAAAATAAAGGTTTTTATTCTCTGCTGGCTGCAGAACGAAGCGACACGTCAGAACTCTTTGATGTTCACTTGATTTATAGTCGGTGGTTCAATCCGCCAAACAGGAACTTCTGCGAGTTCACACCACTGATGTGTGTGTGTGTGTGTCTGTGTCTGTGTGTGTGTCTGTGTCTGTGTGTGTGTCTGTGTCTGTGTGTGTGTCTGTGTGTGTGTGTGTGTGTGTGTGTGTGTGTAGGATGTGATGGCGAGTGGGACAACGTGTCGTGCTGGAGAAGCGCGGCGGTCGGCGAGGTGCTGACCCTCCCCTGCCCCTCCCCCTTCCTGCTGCTGTTTGGCAAGAACGGTGAGCTTCACCTCAGACACACACTTCCTGGACTAACACACACACACACACACACACAGAGACACACACACACAGATGGCGAGAAAGTCGGTAAAGTCTTTCAGTTGCAGCCCCGGGGTCGGAGAACGTCTCTGAGCTTCCTTTGCATTCATGAAGAGTGAAAGTGTTTGTTCAGCACTAATGAGGATTTCTTCCTGGGACATAAAAACTCACACGTGTTTGTTTTTAGTTGGATTTTCTCGAGGAACCAACTTACAGAGTTCATGCTGTGAATTTAGCCGATGTTGCAGGTTGGCAAAGCCGCTGTATCAATAAGATAAGACTTTATGAATCTCAAAGGAAATTCTTTGGCCAGATAATGTTTAGAAAAAAAAAAAACGTATGAAAAGAATGAAACATCTCTGACAATAACATCAAAATGCTTAAAAATAAAGTTCTGGAATTGAAAAGTAATAAGTAATGCTGACAGTTATACTCAGATAGTGAAGAAAAAACACACATGATAATGAAATATTGCAGATTCAGTTGAAATATTGTACATTTGTTTGAAATATATTCCCAGAAAAATGGAAAATTGCACATTTAATTCAAATATTGCTCCAGAAAAATAAAATATGTTTCCTTCATTTGAAATATTACACCATAAAACTGAAATATTGCACCAGAATAAAATAAATATTGCACATAAAACTGAAATATTGCACCAGAATAAAATAAATATTGCACATTAAATTGAAATGGTGCAAATTAAAATGAAATATTACACCAGAATAGTAAAATATCGCACATTGAATTGAAATATATTACCAGAAAAATAAAGCATTGCACCTTCAATTTGAAATATTAAACCATAAAAATGAAATATTGAACCAGAAAAATGAAATGATTGAACATTAAATTGAAATATTGCACATTTACAGAAATATTGCACCAGAAAAGTTCAATATTTCACAGCAAAAATTAAATATCACACATTGAATTCAAATATATTATCAGAAAATGTAAATATTGCAACTTAATTTGAAATATTAAACCATAAAAGTTAAATGTTGTGCAATAAATTGAACTATTGCACCAAAAAAATTAAATAACGCACATTAAACTGAAATATTACACACTGAATTAAAATAATGCATCAGTATAATTAAATCTTGCTCATCGTTGCACAACCAGAATATGTAGTTTGATCTAAAACTCCGTCCAGGTTTGCTGCGTCTCTTCTGTCCTCGTCTGAACCTCTTAGTTCTGATTAATTGCAGCTTCTTTCCTCCGACTGTTTGTTTTCTCTCCGTCGCCTCTTTCTGCTTCATGCTGATGTCTCGTCTTTGGTCCTCTTCATCCTTCATCCGTCTCACTTCTTCATCTTCACTTTAATCCTTTTTATTAAAGTCAGTTCGTTTCTCATTGATGCAGCTTTTAGATTTTTTCATTTTCCAACTTGAACATGAATCAGTTCAGACGCTTGTTTGTGACTCTGACTCAGAGCAAACACAGAAATCAGCGACTTAACTCTAATTATCCTTCAATGCTTCTGTCATATTATCAGCAGAACAGTTCAGAGCTGCAACAATCAATCGATCAATCGTCTAACATCAGATTAATCAGGAGCTGTTTTGATCGTTGAATAATCGGTTTGAGTAGTTTTTATGAAGAAAAAGTGAAATTTCAGCATTTTTTCTTGGCTTCTCTCCTCCTCTGATCGACATTTTTCACCATTTTCAGACGTTTTATGGCTCAAACAGCTGATTGGTTGATAAATAAATGAATCTACAGATTAATCAACGATGAAAATAATCATTAGTTCAACACTGCTTCAAATAATATCACAATATTGTTGTTTGGTTAATGTGCTGATATCACATATTGTGAATCTGCTGCTGTAGATTCAGTCTGTTTTGCATTAAAGCTGCACCGATTAATCAGTTAGTCGATTAGTTATCAACTGTTAAATTATTTGTAGGCTATTGAGATGATCGATTATTCTGCTTTTTAGGGGGGAAAAAAATCTAATTTCTGTGATTTTAGCGTCTTAAATATGAATATTTTCCATTTATTTCCTCCTCTGTCTTTGGTTTTCGACAAAACAAGACATTTGAGGACGTCTCGTTGGATTTTAAAAACATTTTTCACCGTTTTGTGGCGTTTTATCGACCAAACAAATTATCAGTTAATATGTAAAATATCAGTGAACCAATGAAAAGACTCATGAGTTGCAGCCCAACGTTAAATTATATCAGAAGATCAGAATATCTGTCAAACAAAAATCACAATTTAGCCCAAAATGTTAATCACTGCACTTTGAAATATTACAGTTTTGTTTGTTGAGCTTCACTTAATTCTGCATTTGAGCTGCTGATTAATTAACTGGTTGATTAATTGCCAATTATTCAATTATTCGTTGACTATTTTAATGTTCAATTAATCAATTTGAGTAATTTTTTATGAATAAAAAAGTTCAAATTCTCTGAGTTTCAGCTTCTTTAATGTGAATATTTTCCATTTCTTTCCTCCCCTATGAGAGTAATCTGAATACTTTGGGTCGTGGATAAAACGTTTGTCATCTTGGGCTTTGAGAAACACAATTTTCCACCATTTTAATGATAAACAGATTAAACGACAATAAAAATAAACAATAATTCCAGCCCTACTTTAAAATATATATGGGGGGAAAAAATCACTAAATTTTTCAGTATGGCAGCTTCAGCACCGTTTTAATGAAGTGTTCAGGTCTTCATTTACCCTGCAGTGCTGCTACTGGACTAATTTGATGTTTAATTAAATACTTCTTTCATAAAAAATTAAAATTCTCTGAGTGCAGCTTCTTAAATGTGAATATTTTCTGGTTTCTTTCCTCCTCTGTGACAAAAAAACTGAATATTTTGGGGGGTTTTCAAGAAAATAAAACATTCAAACATGTCAACGTACTTCTTTTATTTTACATTTCATAGATCAAATATCAAACCAATTAATCGAGACAGTGAGAATAATCGTCTCTTGCAGCCTTGTTGTCGTGTTTCTTTCTTTCCCACCTCTCCTCTCTGGTTCCTCCGTCGCTCTCCTCCATCTCTGTGCTTTCCTTCAGACTTTCGGTTAATGATTACGTTTTCAGCAGCTGCAGCGTCAGTCGGCAGCTGATCGATCGGCGTCGCTGCAGAAGCACAAAACATCCGGTCGGCCGGCTGACGGATGAGGCGTGTAATCGCTGCAGCGCATCACAGCAGCAGGGTGACGATGAAACAGTTAAAACGATGCACCGTGAAAATCAGGCAGCAAAACGACGTTAAAACACAAAAACTGTAAAAATAACAGCAAACGTCTTTAAAGTAATGAGATTTATTTGCAGTAAAACGCCATAAATGCGACTTTAACTCACTAAAGAGTGTTTTTATTGTGTTGCACAGATGCTTTTACTCAAAGACAGTGAAGGAAAACTTACTCAAGCTCTGTGCTTCAGTACAAGTTTGAGGTGTTTTACTTTAGCGTGTCCACGTTAAGCTTCTTTTTCCTTCCAAGCTGCTGCAGAAATGTTTTATTTTCATCTTAAAATTACAGAAAAAGGATGTTAATTTACAAGAACTGTAAGAAATGTCCACATGTGCAGTAATTTGTTCTTTTACAGCTTTGACTGAAACGTTTTTTAGATGCAGATTAAACCCAACAGATAATCAAACCTGATTTTTAAATGCAACACGTAGCTGCAGATTAAACCAGCGATTGCAAGTGCTGCAATAATGCAAACTACAGGAAAGAATCAGGCACAGAAATGATAAAATCAGCAATAATAATGATGATGATGTGTGGCTGTGGCTCTTCAGCTGTTATCAGTTAATGACATAAATCAGAGGTATTAACAGTGAGTTGCAGGCAGAAACAAAACAAACCATAAAACTTGGATGAAGTTTGATGGAGATCCAGTAAATCCTCAGCCCGCTCCTCATTTCATGTTATTTTCAGGGATAAACACGTCGGCTGTTTGGTGAAAGTGTTTGCTGCAACATTTCTGGCTGCTGGTCAAAAAAAAAGTAGAGAGAATGAAGCTGAAAACATCCTGAAAAACAACTTTTATTCCAGGATTAGTTTCTGATATTAAGAGTTTACGTTTGTATTTAAGATAGCACGCCTTTAAACCTTAAAATATGTATTTTGTACATAATATTTCCCAATTTAAATGCTAATTATCAATCTAAATACACACACGTTGGTGGACTTGGACAGAATTCTGTGTTTTTATTGGCCTAAAAATGTTTAATTTACTTTAAATTCCACCTAAAAATTGTAGAATCTGCCTATAAAATGCTTTTATTTTGAAAAACTGCTTCTCATTTACTGCAACCTCTTTTGCAAAAACGGCCAAAATCAGCCAGACGAGTGCAGATGAAGAATTATCCACATTTAAGAGGAGAAAGACGCCTGGCCTTTCACTTGTCATCTTGGAAGCAACATCTCTGTGTTTATGCTTCATCAGATAAAACGGAGACACTCAGGGCTGTATTCAGGTTACTGTTCCAGAGCGAAGACATTTAGAGCCTTTTACATTATAAAAGCTGGAAGCAGAGCACTTTGAGCATTTTTTTCTACCAACAAACGTCCCTTTAACATTTAATTAATAATCAAACTATGGCCAGTTTGACTGCTGTCACTGTGATTTATGTTTTTGGTTAAAGGACATTTTTTTTTGGTGGTTTCCTCTCCTGAGGCGAGCCCCCGAGGATAAAGGAAGTGTCGAAGCAAACCGGTGGTTCTTGGCTCCAGATCTGATAATAATAATAATAATCTTTATTTATAGAGCAGATTTCACAGTCTGAGGCCCAAAAAGCTTCACAGGGACAGAAAACACAACATAAACCATCTTTGTTTTAAGAGGAAACACGATTTGGTGCAAAAATATATTTATATATGGGAGAACTGAAAGAAAATTTAAATTTCAGCAAGTGTTATATTAAAAAAAATGCCTGGAATTGACAATAAGTTTTACAGAGTTAAGGAGTAAATGAATGTTTTGTGTGTTTCCAGGTAACCTGAGCAGGAACTGCACCGAGAGCGGCTGGTCCGACGTTTATCCCGTCATCACCGTCGCCTGCTATTCAGACATCACGGACAGCGAGGTGAGTTCAGCTCCTCAAACAGCAAACCAGGTTTAACGGAGTCAGGAGGAGGCTCTGGTTGCTACGGGCCAATAACGGGCCAGAGGTTGATCAGTTTAGATGGTTTAGATTAAATCTCAGGTGACGGTTTGCAAAAGTCGACTCTTTAACCCAGTCAGCCAGTTAACTTCAGTGGATTTAATGAAGCCATGCAAAGTTCTACCTTCTCATGATGAATATTTTCACTTATTGGTCTTTAAAGCCCAAAGAAGTGGGCTGAAATGTTTCCGTTATTTCTGAGCCTCATAATTTGAGTTTTACATCCATCCAGGTGTCTGAATCTAAAACGTAAATTTGGGTTTTTTGTTTTTTTTCTGCTCTATCCAACTTTGAGCATCAATATGAGGTCTGTCAGAAAAGCTCCAGGTCTGGTGTCACATAAGATAGATTTCAAATCCAAAGTTTCTCGTTCGTAATAACCCCCCTGGAGTCTGACACACTTTTCCAGCCTCCCAGGATTCTTCCAGGATCCTCCTCAGCTCCGTCCTCACAGCCATCTTGATGTCGTCCACGTCTTCTAAACGGGTCCCCTTGATGACCCCCTTGAGCTTGGGGAAGAGGAACCAATCCCACGGAGCCAGGTGGTGTGAGTAGGGAGGTTGCTCCAGCACAGAGATGTTCTTCTCAGCCAGGAGCTGTGGGATGCTCAGGACGTTGTGAGCAGGTTGTCATGGTGAAGCAGCCTCCACTGGTCCTGCCACAACTCTGCCTCTCCTCTGAACGAAGCAAACACTGCAGGATCTCTTTGTAGACGTGTTGGTTGATTGTCTGAAGGGGAAAACTCCTGGTTTGTAGTTTGAAATCTATCTTTAGTGACACCAGTCCTGGAACTTTGTGGACACACCTCGTAGTTTGGTGCTTGCAAAATGTAAAAATTGAGATTGTGTTCGTGGAAGGAAGGAAAATAGTCAAGTGTTGGACACCAGTAGTACACATTATTTCATTTATGCAAACTGTTGCATAAAACACGTGAACACCAAAGTTGTTTCTGGGTTTCACGAGCAAACACGAAACTTGTGAGCGTTAAAATGTGACTGTGACCATATCAGACATCAAACTGCTGCAGTTCTGCTGTTCAAGCTATCATACATCCCATAATATTGATGCTCAGAGTCGGTTATAGCAAAAAAAATGAACAAAAGTCAGATTCAGTCTTTAGAAAGCGACTCCTGCATGGATGTAAAACTGATTTAGTTGCAGTTTTTCATGTTTTTTGTGTGTTTTTGAAGGAAAAAGCACAAAATTTAGATTGTTTATGTCGCTGTCATTGTCTACACGGAGCGTACACGACGAGATTCAGATGGAAACCTTAACACAAAATATACAAATAATAGAACAGAACAGGAACAGTACACATATAGGAGTGCAGAGTGAATGTAGAAGTTATCACTGGTTATTTCACAGAGCTGTTTCTTGCAGAGCTCGGTGTGTTTAAGGGCAACTCAGAAAGAAGATAAAACCTCGCAGGCGTCATTAAACACACTGAAGCTGTTATAGATTAAAAACCAGCTGATCCTGAGCAGGTCCGGGGGAACTTTTAGCTGATTTGGTTGATTTTATACGTTTCTGTCGGCGTTTTTTTTTTTTTTTTTTGAAGAATCTCAGTCGAGACGGTTGATGGAACGACTGCAAGTCTTTTGTTTTTATTTTGCTGAGCTTCAATCTGCACCTTTTAGTTTGCATCGATTATCTGATGAATCACGAACATTCGTGACCGGAAAAGCCTCGTTATCTGATCGGTTTGGTTTCTAATCCGCCGTCTTTGCTGCTATTCAGCCGGAGACTTAATCTGGCGTGAGAAACTGGCGAGTCCCTGAACGCACCAGTCGGCCTCAACACAAACCCATCAGTAGGCGTTTGTAGTCGTCATTTCTGAGCTGGAGGTAAAAAGAGGACGGTAGCTGGAAAATAAACCAAAACCAGATGGTTCTCGTGTGATTTGTCGTTTTATTGTGAAGGTCGATTAATGGCTGGATGCCGCGTTCAGGTTTTAAAACCACAAACGTTTCCTTTGTGCATCGACAGACGCCTGCAGAGTCCGTATCAGACCATCAGGTCTCTGCTCTGACCCACTTTGAAAAGCTCTGCAGCCAAACCAGCAGTTTTTCGGTTTGTTTGTGCTGCAGCGTCCTAAAGGTCAAACACTAAACAGCAGCTTTTATTGCGCTAAATCTGATTTCTAGTCTGTGTTTAGTTGGGCTGGTTTGGATTATTTGCTGCTGTATGTAAAATAAATGGCTCCTATTTATGGTTTGGGCTTCGGGCTACAGAATAAAAACATAATTCAGGTCATAATATAGCTGCGCTTGGTGCTTTTTTTCTTTTTAACCCTCTGAATCCGGAGCAGTTTTATTTACTCTCATCATATTTTACTGCAACATAAAGTCCTCAGTGGAAACAACTCAACCATGACTAGGAGGACAGATTTCTAATTTTACTAACGTTTAACACAAATGAGCTTTATTTTTATGTCACATTTCACTCACCGAGCAAATTAAAGTGCTTTACGACATAATAAAAATGCATTTAATTTGATTTAGATGAACTAGAATAAGAAGTCTGGAGGATTTTCAGTAAACTCGGCACATAAATCTAACTTTTTTCCAAGTCTAAACTCATTTTCTTGACTTTTTTTCCGTTAAATTTGCTTTAATTTGGTCCCGTCTCCCGGACTTCTGCTCTGACCTCCTGGACGGCTCGACGCTCGGCCCGATCTCGGATCTCCTCCCTGTTCGAGTGTGTTTACGCGTCCACTCTGACAGAGATAAACGAACGGGGAGAGGTTTTTTTCGCTCGACTCGTCTCTCGGACCACCGTGAAACCTTCGGCTTCGCTTCGACCGGCTGACAGCAGGAAAAAACCCAAACAGCTGCTCTCGTTTATATTTGTGGTTTTATTTGTGCGTCCTGCAGCCCAACAGGACGATTTGAGCTGTGGTTTAGAAAAATGACAGCGAGGATGCAAAGAGCTTTAGCCGACTGTAAACCTCACCTCAGGTCCACCAAGAACAGTTTTCTGGCTGTTCAGCTCAGTTATGAGTGATGTCTTTATATGATAATATTTAGGTTTCGTCTCATTTTGTGGCTACTTTATCAGAAGCTTGATGCAGTCGGCTCATATCTCTGGACTTTCCTTTAACTCTGGGCTCAA